GGGTGGGAGACCAAATAGGAAGAAGTATATATACTGAGTTAGATTGAATGTATTGATAGTGTTCTGGATTTAGTGCTTTAGGTGCATGGAGGGGACTCTAACAGGTTAATTATCCTGGTTGGTGACCCTCACACGCAGTGAGCTTACACTCTAACCAGGGGCGGAGTAGGCTAGAACTTTTGTGGGATGTCGGAGAGGAAGGAGTCCAAAGGCTTAAGGAGAAGAGGATGTTGGTGTGAATTTCTCAAGTATGACCTGCTCCCCACCGCAGAGAATACCCCCTCCACTAAGGCTTTGAGAAGTTTAATAAACTCTAAGGTGGTCCTCTGTAAGGGGGCTGTGACAGAGGAGCCACTGCCTGAGATGGGCTCTTTATCTCACTGGGCAGGACAGGATCACATTTCTACCGAGCCCCAGAACCTAACCATCTGAGACAAAGTGGGCACGCTTGCTGTCAGGGACAGAGTTGGGATGAAGGGGCACAACAGATCATCCTGGAAGAAACTTTGATGATGGCTGGTTGATTACGGTCTCCCTAGGGATAAATTAGAAGGACAGCCTTCTATTTTTTTTTTTTTAAGATTTTATTTACTTATTAGAGAGACAGTGAGCACGAGCAGAAGGAGAAGTAGGTTCCCCGCTGAGCAGGGAGCCCGATGTGGGGCCCCATCCCAGGACCCTGGGACCATGACCTGAGCCGAAGGCAGACGCTTAACCCACTGAGCCACCCGGGCACCCCTGAAGGACAGCCTTCTAAAGGTTCATTTTCTCCCTCTCTGTATTTTTATAAGAGGAAAACTTCCGGTCCGTAACCAGAAACCTAACTCAAGTCGCCACAGTGGAAAGGCATAGCCACTTAACCCAGTTTCCAGACCCAAGTCAGACTCCCAGTGATTGAGGCCATGTTGCCTTGAGGGAACTTTCAACACTGCCTCCCGTAGGTACTATAGATATTTCTCCACATCTTCCTCAAAGGGACTTGTGTCCATTTCCTAGAGCAGTTGTGTCCAGAGCAAAAGGAAGGACCCGAACCTTTTAGCGCTTTCTAGACACTAGCTCTGAATTGATGTTAATATCTAAGGACCCAAAATTCCTGTGGCCCACCAATCCATGGGTGGGCTTATGATAGGCAGGACATTTGGCTACTGTTCAAATTATACTCTGCCCAGTAGTCTGGAGACCCATGCTTGGTTATTCCCTCAGTTCTTGAATTCATAATTGGAGGAGATGTATTTGGCAATTGGCAGAAGCCACCCTTTGGTCCCTTGACCTGTGAAGTAATGGCTGTCGTGGTAGGAAGGGCCAAGTAGAAGCCCGTGGAATTTCTTCCCTACCAGAATAATAAATAAAAAGGGATATAGCATCTCTAGGGGAGAGTTGGAGAAATTAGTGCCGGCACCAAAGACTTGAAAAAATGAAAGCACGGAGAAACTTCCCACATCCCCATTTAACTTGCCTGGGTGGCCCATGCAGAAGGCAGGTTTATTTCAGAGAGTGACTTTGATTATTGTAAACTTCATGAAGGGGTGATTTTAGCTGCTATTCAAGGTGTGTCTTTATTGAAAATAATCAACATAGCCTCCAGCTCCTGTTAGGCAACCTCTGGTCTGGCAGGTACTTTCTTTCTGAACCACTTTGCAAGGATTACAGAAGCAGGTTGCTTTTACCTGGTGTGGCCGACAGTTTACATCCCTGTCTTACCTCTGTTCCATAGATCCCCCTGCTCCCTCTCATCCTTTGTTCTGCAATATCCTGATCTTACTGATATCCCTCAGCACGGTGGGCTGGTCCAGTACCTTGACCTGATAAACAGCAAGGGACAAGTACTTTAGATGCTTCAGTGAGACATCTTCAATCCAGGAGGTGGGAGATAAACCCCATTCTTGCTAACAAGTACTGTATCAGTTAGTGTCCAGACAGAGAAGAGAAAAACACATTAACTACTTTAACAGAGAGAATTCGCTGTGAGGAATTGGTTAAGTGGGTCTGGGAGGATTGTGGATGTACGGAAGGGAGACTAAGAGATCAGGGGTGGTAAAAGCAGGAAGCGGCTACCACGCCTCAGGCTGGAGTGACAAAGGAGAGAGGATGGGGGTATCAACATCTAGGAGTTGGAGGAGAAGGAGAAGGGACCCAGACTTCTGAAGCGCACTGCCAGGTCGGGGCTGTCACGTCTGAATTTTGTCATCCACAGCTTGTTCTGGAAATGAACCAGCGGCTGCGGTGATGCAGACTAGGGTAGCAAGCAAAGCTGTAAAGAGCCGTCTTCCTACTGTCTTGCTTCCCTCGTAAGTGGGGTGATAAAAATTGGAGAGATCCAGCTTGGGAGATGGGGTGTTTCTCTGATATGCCTGAATGTGGGCTCACAGTTTATGAAGCGGGAGTTGGAATCACACAAACTGGTCACCTAGCTATGTCACCTTGGCCATGCTACTCAACCTTTCGGAGCCTCAGCTTTTCATCTTTAAAATGTGGCTGGGGCGCCTGCGTGGCTCAGTCGGTTAAGTGTCCGACTCTTGATTTCGGCTCAGGTCATGATCTCCTGGTCCTGGGATCAAGCCCCACATCGGGCTCCAGGCTCAGTGCGGAGTCTGCTTGGAACTCTCTCTCCCTATTGTCTTCTGCCCCTCCCCCTGCTCACGTGAGCTCTCTCTCTCAAATAAATAAAGTTCTTAAAAATGTGGCTCATCCCCACCGGGCAGGATTGTGATGAGGATTGAAGGAAACCGTATAACAGCACTAGCGTGTGCTGCCTCTCCAGTTCCCTAGGAGGCTGTGAGGATGAGGTGATGCTCAGAGCTTTTGCGGGAGCGGTGTGGAGGCAGTCCCCAGGTCAGGAGCAGCCACCAGGCTGGTTTGTCACCGGCAGTGTTTTTACTTTTCCATCTTCCTATTTGAGAGGCAAGTGACGAATTGGAGTGTAGAGCATGGTTTTTGGTGTCAGATGAGGTCTAAATGTCAGTCTTACTTATTGGTCTTGCATATTTATTAATTACATGGCTCTGTGGACCTATTTTCCCAGGTCTAAACTCTCAGAGCTGTTGTGAGACATTGCAGTGATGCCCATGAAGTGTCCTGCCCTATATCTGACATGCAGGAGAGACTCAGTGATGCTGCTATTTTTACCCATGTGGTCTTTGTATTGTAGAATGATTGTTTTTGGAAGGAATGGGTAAAGCAGCAGTCTCATATGTGGGGGGCATATATCCAAAGGCAAGCGTTGTAACTTATTTGAAGGCTTAAAAGGATAGACATCCAATAAGTCTTCATAAATGGTATTGTTAATGATTTAGTAATATGTCCGAAGCTTAATTTATTATCCAATACATATGGCGGCTATATTATAATTTCCTGCAAGTTAGATGTACAAGGTTGTTGATGAATTTTATAATGGAGAACACAGAGTGGGTTTCAGGGTATTGAATACTTTATAAGAGATAGTAGAGTAAAAATAGTTTACTGTTTTCTTACATTTGGGGGAGTTAAAATATATTTAAAAACCTTTAGTATATCATTAAGCAGAATTAGGCAAGGGGAGAAAGAATTAAAATAAACAGAGTTGGATATGAAAAGAACAGCTGTGCCAGAAAATGAGACATTGTATATGTCCAAAACTACCAGTTACATGCAGCTTCAGAAACAATGTCATGATGGCATTAGCCATTTGGGACTGAGGTAGACAGTTCTAATATACTCCAACGAGTTAGTCACCATCATTTTCCTGTTATCTATACTAACGGGTTATAAATCCATTTTAATTAAAAGTAGTGAACAACACTTTGTGATACCACTTCAATAAGCATAACCCCATTTCTAATACATTATGGCTTTGACACCTTTGAATTAAAAAACGATCCAACTTTAGCAGGAGATGAAGGGAGTTGACAATTATCTGGTGAATTTAGGTTGTGTGCTCAATTTGTATAAATTAGATCTCAAGGTGGATTTTGCACTCTATCAGAGTATTAGCTGTGGGCATGGCCAGTGTTCAATGGATGATTTCCAAATCTACACCTCCCTTCTTTATAGGCTGGAGACTTCCTGGCAGATGCAATGAAGTAAAATCTCCGGTACATATACATTGGAAACATTCACAGCTTTTAAATGGGTGAAACCATGACTCGACAATCCCTAAAATTAGAAGATTCAGTGAAGCTGTTTAGATGTTTTTTTTTTTTTCTTTCTTTCTTCTTGGCTGAAGCCCTTTAGAATTACATGTTGGGTTCAGCCAGATACATTTGAATCTTGGGGTTTTTTTCTTTAAGAAAATAACTTATGTATGCTAACTAGTGCTTGAAGGAAAGTTTCCTGATCCTTTTAGAAATATGCCAAGGAATATCAGTGGAATATGAATTCCTCTCATGCAAGGACAGAGGCTGTGCATTTTAAAATAGTGATTCCCTCTAAAAATTTCCTTTTAAACATTTCCTCCTCTGTGCAGATCATGTATAAAATGGCTTTTTTTTTTTTAGATAGGAGGAAGTCAAATGGATATGAACTCTTCTGCACTAAAGAAATCTTTCATACCTCGAGTGGTGCCACTGAGTGGCATGAGGATCACAGAATCATAGTCCCCTAGGACCGGAGGGGACCTTGGGAATCATCTGGTTGACCACCTTATTTTACAGATGAGATGCAGGCAAGCAGTTTGCCCACAGCCTCTCTGTGCTGATGGCACGCCCATGACAAGAACCCAGGCTTCCTGATGCCAAGTTAATGTGCCTTTTGCAATCTCGGTTGCCCTCCATATGTCCTTTTGTTTAGCACTTGGACTTTTTGGCATTTGCTGAATTTGTACATTTTGTTAAGTAGAAAATGACTAATTTGTAAATGCATGAATGATTGAGATAGAAACAATAGTGTGTTACAAAATATTTGATGGTAGAACTTGAATGAACAAAATTGATTGTCAGTTAATAGCCCTCTTTTACTCATAATAAAAAATGAAGTGTCTGACTATGTGACCAAATGGCTTATAGCAAATATTTTTGACCTTTTAGAACAGAAGAATCTATAACGGAAGATGACAAGAGGAGGTATGTTTGACATTGAAGCTGGCTTTAATTTGAATAGTTTTGGCCATCTTCCATGGATTAATTTAATGAATGGATGTAATTTCACACTGTATGTAGTACATTGCCAATAACATAGATTACACCCGGACAACTTCTGGCACAGAGAATACGGGTAGGAGCGTGTGATCTGAAAAAGGACTTGCTCAGGGTTCATAATCTTTGCCTTCAAGCAAGCTTGGGTTTTGTCCTGTGCTCATGGCCTGTGCTGGTTTCTATCCTGTGGCCTTTGGATGTGCTGTTCTCCCTAATGGATGACTTTGTTCCTTCTCCCCGCCCACTTCAGCCTCCGTCTCCTTCTCGGGTGGACCGCGCCCTGCTCTCATTACTCATTGCTCTCTCTCCCCTCCTTTTATGTTTGTATCTACCTCCAGGGAAGTGTTCTGTGTGTCCATAGCACCTATTACCACGCTGACCGCTATGAATTCTTGATGAATAGTGACCGACTAACTGTAACATGTTGCTCTATGGATATTTATTATTGTACTAAATTATAAAAAAATCCCAATTTGTTTTCCTCTTTCTCACTCCAAGTTAAATATCTAAAAATTCTACTCACTCAACTTAGCTTTCTTTTTTCATATAGAACTTCTTTAACATAGAAAAAATTATATTTCCAAGGGCAGGAATGTTCCAAATTCTACTTTTGAAAAGTCATGAGTTACTTTAATAGTTCTATAATTGTTGGCAGTACTCCTTGCTTCTGTCACTTTCTGCACATACAGAGTATCATGGATACCGGTCTGATTTCTCTCTCTCTGCTTCTTTTCATTAAGAAACTATGGAGGGGTATATGTAGGTCTACCATCTGAAGCTGTCAGTATGGTATCCAGTCAAACAAAGACTGTACGAAAAAGTAAGTAAAATCATGAGATTTACTTTCTCTAAATATTTGTCTTTTTGTTTTTTGAAAAAAAATATAAGATTTATATTTCAGCTTGCCTGACTCAACCTACATATTACTCAGTTGCAGTTAACCATGTAGAAAAACCATTATCTGTTCACTGTAATCATCTGTTGAAATTGCCACCTACATGATGAGAGTAGTTCCAGAGCAAAATTTAGCTTCTATTTGTGGCTATGTTCCATGGATGAAAAAAATTTTTCTCCATGGATAATTTAAATTTATTGTTAATTTCAGTGATGATTGGTATGACAATGAAAGCAAATGTTTCAGTAAGTTTATGGAGTTTTTGTAGAAATAAAGGTGAATTCTTATAACATATTCCTGTAATATACTGATAACAGTCTGAGGATTAGAGGAAAATCAACTGTGTATTGTATAATTAAATGAAGTGAGGCCCCTTTTTTGTTTCAATAAGTAGTAATTGTGGGGCTAATGTCGTTTTGATAATAGACAGGGACAACGACAGCCTCAGAGCTAGCTTCTTGCTTAAATGTATGGCTCGTGGTAAGAATGCTGGTTTACCAACCACTGTGCAGTTGTCTGATGCACAGTTTTAAAGGACTGTTAATATGTTTCATTTACACACAGGCTCTACTACCTTATTTGTAACATACTGTAGCTGTTTGTTCCTCATTGCTGTTTCTCTGCATTCTGATCTGGACTAGCAAATACATATAAATCACTACTACTTGTCATTTTATAGGAAACTAGAATATGTTCTTTATAATCCAAATATTTAACTTTTCTTAATTTTCTCTTTAAGATTAAAAGAAAATATCGTGACTCCATAATCAAGAGGTACTGTATTTTTTCTAAATAATTGTATGTATTTAGCCTCGATGATGAATGAACTATAGATATTGTTGCTAGCTGTTTCTAAGAAATCTTGGACTCCAAGATTAAGAGGGGTCTCATCTTGTGGTTAAATCTATGAAATGGAGCATGTTATATTGTAAAGGGGTCAACTTTCTTTGCAGTTATTTTTATTTTTCATTTCATTTTGTTTCAAATGCAACCTAATTCATTTAATAAGAACAAGCTAAGTGTTTGCCTAAAATATGAAGGTTTTACTCTTCATTGCCAAAAACTGAGGTGCTAAGACTTTGGAAATGACAGACAGGGAGAGACCAGAGAGGCTGGGACTGGGAATTAAATTAGGATCAATATTAAGTGTTGGCAATAGCCAGGGGTGAGTTAATATACAGAGAGGAGATGTATCTGTACCAAATAATGCCAGTAGAGATGGGCAGTCATCCTTGTACAGAAATGTAGTTATGCAGGAAGGAATAGTAAAGCCATAGACCAAAGTCGGTTGGGTATTATAAAACATGTTCAATGTGCACAGAAGAAACCATTGTCTGAAAGATGACGCACCGTGGACCTGGTGTCCTGGTGAAGAGCTTGGCGGTAGAATTATCCTAAGACAAGAACAAGGACAGGAGAAAACAAGCTTTCCTTTATTAACCCCCTGTGTGCCAGTTTCTAAAAGATCCCGTGCAGCATTTCCATAGAGGCAGAAAGTCTCAGTTCATCTGGTCCAAGGATGCACATGATGCTTGGATCCCCACTGCATCTCGGTCTTGCTGACTGACATCTGGCCTCTTTTGAACGTCCTGTGATCAGGAATGCCCTATCTCCTGAGATAGCCCGTTCTCTTCTGGGAGTCAGACAACCTTGGATTTGAATTCAGGCTCTTTCACTTACCAGTGGGGCAAGTTACTTCCCCCTTGTAGCCTCCATTTTATAATCTGTAAAATGGCATCAGTGCTTAGCTTGAAGGGTGTTGTTAGGGTTCAATATGAAATAAAGGGCAGTTCCAATGATTGCTGTTTTCATCATCATACTATTCTGTTTTGTATCGAGAATTCAGCCTTTGGCAGACCCAAAGCAAAACTGACTTGATACTGACTTGATACCCACTTCTCGCTCAAGGCCAGTTACTGGATTTGGGCATTTGGGATGGGGAGGGGGTCACAGAATAAGCTTACAGGTGGAGACAAATAAGTTTTCCCGCTGGGGGAGAGGGACACAGAGACTGTAAGCAGTGTCTTCCTGACAAGAGATACCACAATCTTGGGTAGCCGTTGTTTGAAGACTGTCTCCTCAAGGTGAAAGCATTGTGGAGCTTTATTCCCTAGGGCCCATGACCACATTATAGAGTGTTGAGTTTCTCTTTGGGAATTTGCTGGAGATTTTCTATTTCTAGTATTTTTAAGAGTTCTAACCCTCTAGGTTCCCTGCCAGTTTTCCACTGTGCAGAAGTACTTTTGTTATTTCCATCAAATAGGAAAGATAATCTAGTTGAAAACAAGCATACGTTACCCTCCTGAAAATAGGTTGCATTTCAAAAAGCATGAGAATAGAGTGGAAAGAGGTGCCACGTAGATAGGTATCAGGAGGTGTGGTAACTCCGTCACTAACACAGGACCTCAGAGGAATCCCTAACATTCTCTCAGGCTTTCTCAAATTCGGTTTTCTCATGGGACAGTTGGACAAGATGGTTGTTCCACTTTGTGTGTGGATCTCAAATTCCCTGATAACAATTTAGCAATCCTGCTGGTAAATCAGCCTGCAACTTGAGACTGCCAGCTAAAATATCTCTTTATTGCTCATGAGTATAAGCCTATTTTATTGCTATCCCTGTCCCTTTGAATTGCCTGAAAAGTGTTCTAAGTTGAAACGCTGTTCTTCTTCCAGAGTTGCTAAGTATCCACTGTGGTACTTGACATGTCTGAGCTCATGGCTCTCTGGGCTTAAGTTATTGGACAGAGAGGCGCCTGGGTGGCTCAGTCAGTTAAGCGACTGCCTTTGGCTCAGGTCATGATCTCAGGGTCCTGGGATCAAGTCCCACATCTGGCTCTCTGCTCAGCGGGGAGCCTGCTTCTCCCTCTCCCTCTGCTGTTCCCCCTGCTTGTGCTCTCTCTGTCTCAAATAAATAGATAAATAAAATCTTTTAAAAAAGTTATTGGGCAGAAACCCCGAGGAGAAGACTGTCCTTTGCAGAGGAAGCTATTTTATGGAAAGGATTGGAGACACTTTTTTTGACCTAACGTGCCAAATCTCTTGAATTAATGCCACTGAACTCGCTCAGTGACTGGAGTTCAAAGTTATTTTAGTGACTTTTTGAAACAAATTGAGGAATGATTTCAGAATCTCTTACAATACTTATATCATGGTACAAATGTGTAATTTCTTCTACAGATGACTCTCGGGTGAGCGTTATGCCCACCTAGATGTGTGGAGCATCCCTGGGCAGGGAGGAGCTGAAGTGGTGCTCTCAGATGCCCGTGGAGGGACTGGCCGGAGCAGGTTCCCCTGGGAGAGCTGGAGAGAGGGTGGATGGCTACCCCTCTCCCAGCAGGGGCTGACCCAGTAGGGGAGGGATGACATCACGGCCGAGCAGTCTATCTTTAATTTGGGTGATGTTGACGTGCAGCTTGGTCTGGGCATTATCATATCATATTTTATTTTATTTTTTCATTTTTTTAAAGATTTTTTAAAAAATTTATTTATCTGTCAGAGAGAGGGAGAGAGTACAAGCAGGGGAAGCGGCAGGCAGAGGGAGAAGCAGGCTCCCCGCTGAGCAAGGAGTCTGATGCGGGACTCGTTCCCAGGAACCTGGGATCATGACTTGAGCCGAAGGCAGATGCTTAAACGACTGAGCCACCCAGGTGTCCCTATCACGTCATATTTTAATTTTAAGTTTATCAGTCTCTTTCCCCACGGCTCTTCATCTCTTTATATAAAGAGTCATCAGTTCTTAGCTCTGTGTTGGCCACTTATTCAGGCTTAAGTATTGAGTGAACCTTGAATGTGTGTTTTACTGAAAAGAAAATTGGTAAATAATTCGTAGGCTGAAAGCTCATTTTTTTTTTTCTAAGTTGTCCTCGTTAAGCTTGCTAACTCTTTTCCCTCTTGCTGTTGTTGTCTTCACAGCTTGCTCATTAAGATTTGGAAGGAATTGCACTCCATGGGCCGTCATGACGTGCACAGAAATTTCTAAGGAAATTCTAACTAGTCGCCCGCTCCGCCTCCCCTCCCCACCCAAATTCTCAAGTCTGTAGTTGAAACCATGGGTACATGTTGAATGTTGTGGTACTAGAAAGGAATCAGGTAGACAATACACGGGTATATGGAACTTTCTGGGGTCCTGCTGAGAAAGACAAGTGGACAAACCGCTAGTGTCTGGAGCCAGCCTGCTGTATCTGGCGGCATTTTCTCCCTGGCCATTCAACACAGCTCATGAAAATCATGTCTTTTCACTGATACTTTTTTGATAGTTTTTATATAATGAAATCTGTATTCTATTTATAACTTCAGCTAAGAAAGCACTATAAATGAACTCCCTAAAGTAATATATTTGTGGGTTACTTTTCACTATTTCTACGTTACATTAATTTTTAGCTGTAAAATGGTTAAATTGATTCTTACTGTTCTCTGTTTCCCTTTTTTACTTTTTGGTTTTCAGCTTTCTGTAAGTGTCAGAGAATGTCTTCTCTTAGGAACAATGTATGACCTTTCAATGTTGAAAAATAAGCCCCCCAAATTTGCATGCCCTACGCACGTTTTGATTAACTTTCCATTTTCTTTGGTCGAAGGCTGATGTCACCACAAATCCTTTGCAGTCATTGATTCTCTCATTCTCCTTTGTGGGATCCCAGCATCCCATCATGTTAATCCTATACTATTTTCAAGGACTAGTGACTGATGGTTAAGGGTATTTGGAAAGCTCTTAATTTGAGGATGACCACGTGTAGCCATTTAGTACTGCAATGTAGATTACTCAATTTACCAATATATTTCAACAATTAAAACATTTTTATCCCTCTTTACCTGGATTTCTTGGTTTTTAAAAGGTCACTTTCAAAGAAGTCACACATGGCATTGTGGTATATAGTTACTATATCAGTATATATAGCTAATGAATAAATAGGTTACCATGAAAAACCAAAATTTTTCATAAGAAGGAAAAGATTATCTTATAAATCTGGTCCATATGACAGCCAGCGGGATATCAAATTGGTAAAATATCAAAGGTGATTTTCTGAGCAGGTGGTGAGAGCTGAGCCTTGGATCTTGCTTGGAGAGGTTGCTGGCTGTACCTGGGGTGTGACAAGGCATGGGACCAGCTCTAAGGAGCAAGTAAAGCAAACCTAGGAGATCTGCTTGGTCCTACTAGCTGTTGTCAATATTTTATTAAGACAGTTTATCAGGAAGAGGTTCAAGATAGCAACAGAAAAGGCTTCTAGTCTCCTCTCCTCCCACAGACACAAAATCTACAGCTGCATATGAAATAGTTCCCTCTGAAAAGGACCTGCAGGCTAGCTGAACCGCAGCTCCACAACAAAGGATAAAAGGGCCATATTGAGATGGGCAGGAGGGGCAGAGGCGTGGTCTTGCAAGAAACCCCAGCCTCGGCACAGAGACCAGCAATTGGGAGGGATCTCATTAATACAGAGCTTGTCCCTGAGGAATGAGAGGTTTTTGCTCCACATCAGACACCCCAGCCCTTGGGAAGTGCATCAGAGGGATGAGCCCCCAAAGCACCTGGCCTTGAAAACCACAGGGCTTATGGCCAGGGGAACCATAGGGCTTTAGGGAATGGAAAATCCACTCTTAAAGAGCTCATGTATGGACCTACTTATCCCAGGACCCAGCACAAAAGTAAGTTTGAAAGGTACCCAGACCATATGCTTAGGAGACTCGTTTGTTAATCTTAGAGCATCTGCCAAAGAGACAGGAACCTGTTGGGACTCTTGGGGACAGAGGTGCTGGCCAGACATGATTTTTGCATTCTCCTTCTGCCTTGTTGGGACTAGCACTGGGGAGTGGTCACTATTTTTGTACACCCGGCCCTCCCCGCCACAGCCTGCTAGCTCCGGTGGAAGTCTCCTGCCCCCGTGCACCACAGCCAAGGGTGAGTACCTTCCCTGGGTGAGTACCTTCCCCCACGGCCCGCCCTGCCAGCCACAGGGTATGTGCCACCCACACCAGGGGCACCCCTTGAGCCCCTGGCTCTGGTGGCCAAGGAGGACTGTGCTTCTGGACCCCCTGAGCCTGAAACAGACAGTCCTTGACAGGTTACCACCCCCAGGCCGCTGCACAAACAGCAGACTGAAACACACCCTCAGCATTCATGTGAAAGAGGCATATTTTCTTGTCCTGGAGCTTCAGCCTGTGGGACAGACTTCGGGTTGGTCATATATCCTAGGCCACAGAGGCACCCCGAAGGAAGATGGGCAGGGAGATAACCACATTAGTGCTCTCCCTTGGCCACAAAGCAGCTCACTGATACCTCCCCGAAAGGAGCTTATATACTTCTAAGCCACGAGCTTTGCAGTTGTCGCCCTGGGGACACTTCCAGATTTCTTGGTTTGGAAGTCAGCAGAGTTTAGGATTGTAGACCCACGAGACTGTCTCTATTAATGTACCTTGAAAGCTGCTGCATGTGGATCTGGCTTACTCCATACCTAAAATAACTAGAAGAAGAACAAATGAAGCCCAAAGTTAGTAGAAGGAAGGACATAATAAAGATCAGAGTGGAAATAAATGAAATAGGGACTAAAAAGATAACAGAAAAGATCAATGAAATGAAGAGTTGGTTCTTTGAAAAGATAAAACTGATGAACCTTAAGACAGCCCACCAATTAAAAAAGACAGGGCTCAAATAAATAAAATAAAAAATGAAAGAGAAGTTACAACTGATACTATGGAAATACAAAGCATCATACCAGACCACTCACTATAAGCAATTATAGGCCAAAAAACTGGACAATCTGGAAGAAATGGTAAGTTCCTAGAAACACACAATCTTCTAAGACTGAATCTTGAGGAAATAGAAAATCTGAATAAACCAATTGCTAGCCAGGAGATTGAATTGGTAATCAAAAACCTTCCAGCAAACAGAAGTCCAGGACCAGATGGCTTCACTAGTGAATTCAACCGAGTATTCAAAGAAGATGAAATACCTATCTTCAGACAAGGACGCCGCCGAGAAGAAAATTAAAGGCCGGACCAATAACCCTGGTGAACATAGATGTAAAAAGTCCTCAACAAAATACTGGCAAACCAGGGATGCCTCTGTGGCTCAGTCGGTTAAGCATCTGCCTTCAGCTCAAGTCATGATCTCAGGGTCCTGGGATTGAGCCCTGTGTTGGGCTCCCTGCTCATTGGGGGGTCTGCTTCTCTCTCTCCCTCTGTGCTCTCTCTCTCTCTCAAATAAATAAATAAAATCTTAAAAAAATACTAGCAATCCAGATTCAACAGTACATTAAAAGGATCATACACCGTGATCAAGGTTGATTGATCTCAGAGATGCAAGGATGGTCAATGTCCACACATCAATCAATATGGTACATCATGTTAACATTTGCACATGAGGATAAGCTGTTGTATGGAAAGAAGCACTAATGAGAGGCCACGAGACTCCACAGCAAGTGCAGAGGGAGAGCTACCTTAGTTCCCGATGACTCAACAGCCCTGGCACCAGTCTGCCCAGGTGGAGTGACTTGGCTTATGTGAAAGAAATTCATGGTGCTACTGTAATAAATTCCCGCCTTCGCTTTAGCTTATGTTGGTTTCTGTCCCTGGCTACCAAGACATAGTTTCACCCTTCCTTTTACGCTGCGCACCACCCTGGTCTCCACTCTCACAAACCTAGAATTTTATAAAAGCCTGTGGAACTTTAACATGAAAAAAATTTATATTTAAGTAAGAATCAGTAAGACATGATCATGATACGCATACTCCTGTCCCATAATGGCATGTAGGTAGAACATTGGCAGTTTCTCCCATTAAGGATAGCAGATTACTTTTCGAAAACTTACAATTTTGAAATAATTTTAGATTTACAGAAGAGTGTAAAGTTAGCACAGACTGTTCCTGTATGCCCTTCACCCAGCTTCTCCCACTGTGAACATCCTACATAAACTTGTCAAAACTAAGAAATTAAATATTAGTGTAAACTAAACTACAGCTTTTCATTGGATTCCTTTAGTTTTTCCATAAATGTCCTTTTTCTGTTCCAGGACCCAATCTGAGATTTCATCGCATTCTATTGTATTTGGTCATCCCGTCTCTTTACTTTTCCCATCCTGAGAGTCCCTCAGTCTCGCCTTGTTTTTCCTAACCCTGACACTTCTGAAGCCTCCTGATACATATTTTGTAGTATTTCCCTCAATTTGGATTTGTCTAATGTTTTCTTATGATTAGACTGGGGTTTAGATTTGTGGGAAGGATACCACAGAGGCGATGTACTCCTTCATCACATATCCTACCTCGCAGTTTCACCATAACTTGTTGCTGGTGATATTAACCACGATCACCCCATAGGTTAGGGGGGACATCTGTCAGGTTTCTCCACTACAAGATTTCTAGTTTTTCTTTTCCAAACTGCCCTTTATAAGTGAGTCACTAGGGTTTTTTTTTTTTTAAGATTTTATTTATTTGAGAGAGAGACACAGCGAGAGAGGGAACACAAGTAGAGGGAGAAGCAGACTCCCCGCTGAAGCAGGGAGCCAGATGCAGGAGTTGATCCCAGGCCCCTGGGATCATGACCTGAGCCAAAGGCAGACGCTTAACCAACTGAGCCACCCAGGCGTCCCTAAGTGAGTCACTAAGTTTATAACATATTCAAAGGAAAGGAGAATAAATCTCCACCTCCTGGAGGGAGGAACATCAAGGAAGTTTTAGACATTTGTTAAAAGCACTACAGTCAAGTATTTTGAGGGAGATACTTGGAGACTCTGACAATGTCCGGTTTCTCCTTAAAGGTTTGCCCACAAATTTTAGCATTCACCCTGGGGAGTTGCCTGCAGCATTGATTACTGTGGTTTTCCAGTGGTGATTTTCTGCTTCCCTCATTTCTTCACATGTATTACTCAGAATTCTACTCTAAGGAAGATTTATCCATTCTCCTCTAATTTACTTATTTATTCAATCCCTTATTTATATCAGCATTGACTCATGGATATTTATTTTGTTCTTTATGTTATAATCCAGTACTGTCACTATTTCGTTGCTCCAACTGTTTGAGCTTTGACCATCAGTCATTTGTTTAAGTTGGTTCTTGACATGATCCAAGCTTCCCCCCAAACCCCCACCTTAGGTTGACTTTTAATAGCAAGCTGGCCTATAAATTAAAAATCCAATTCAAAAGTTAAAACATATTCCTAAAACTTCATCAAATTTTATTATAAATGAATAGTGTTTTCCATATTATGACAAGTCTTAACATTTTCCTTCAACTAGACATTATTTAAATTTAGAACCTTGTGATTCTTACATGCTAATAATACTTACCACCCACTTACCTCTGTCTTAAGGCTAATGATTATAAACTTTATTTAGTACTTCAAGAATCTTGAATGAAAGACTTAAAGAAGGAGAACTATTAACATTAGGATCTTTCAAAGGAGAGTAGGAGAGGAAAGGATGGCCGAGGAGTAGGGGACCCTATTCCAGCCGGTCCCCAGAATTGAGCTGGATATCTACCAGACCACTCTGAGCACCCACGAAACCAGCCTGAGTTGTAAGAAGATCTGGATCTCTACAAACAGAATATCGCAGGCGGTTGGTTTTGAGATACGAAGCAGGGAGCCGTGATTCCACGGGCAGATATCGGAGGATAAACAGCAGCAGGAGGGTGCCTGGCCGTGGGGATCCTACACCGCTGGTGAGCAATAGCCTCGCGTGCTGGGGACGGGGCACAGACTCACAGACCGGTAGCGGCGGGGAAAGGACTTTAGGGCAGCCCACGGGATGGAAACCTGGAGCAGCGGGGTCGCACGTGCGACCTGGGGGTGGCTGGCGGTTGTAGAAGCACAAAGTGCGG